AATATTAAATAATTTGTCGTCAATTTTGTGGTTATGTTGCACCTGCTGCTTGGTTTTAGTTTTCCAGTTGAAGTCCTTCTAATGAGACAAACTTTTCCCTTTGTTAGTTTTTCTTCATTAGAAAGTCGCCTTCAGATGGATGGAGGACCGAGACCAGAGCAGGACAAACTGCAGCAAATCAAAGGGACCGGCGGTCAACAGATCAAAGAAAAACACCGACACTCTAAGTAATTACTGCAAAGGCTCAGAGCTGGCAGACTGTCAGCGGCTGCATCATATGAACTTTAAAAAAGCTTCACATTCGTCATGTTTTACCTTTCAGTGCAGCAGCGGCTCTCTGACCCTTTGGCAGACTGCTGCTTACGGAACTCAGCCTCTTCTCTTCTTCTCTGGGTGTTTGAGGCGGTGGGCGGAGCCTCTATCAAGCTCCTTACCACCACCACCTGGTCTGGAGGTAACAGAGAAAATTAGCCGGAAATAACAAACTTCCCTTAGGTGTCAAAAGTATTAATGCTTATAACTCCAGTAGAAGTATAAATCCTGCTGTTTCAAAACAGCTTTGTAGAATTTTGAGGATCAATTTTATGGTTTTTACTCAAATAAAAGTGAAAAATATACATATATTTTTTAAACTAGATTATAAAAATAAAAGTATTGGTATTTGGTGAACAACACGTTGGGGCAGCACCAACCACAAAGAAATGAACTGGCTGGATGAAACTAATTATTTTCATGGGTTTTTATTTTTATTTTTTAAATACCAACATGCTATAATGAAAATGAGATTAAATGAACCTAAACTAATGGATCTATTTTTAAAATCAGGAGTAGAAAGTAAAAGAATGTCTAAAAAAGAATTACTCCAAAGTATAGATAGCCAATATTTCTACTTAAGTAAGGAAATGAAGTATTTGTACTTTGTTAAGTGAAACCTCTGCAAATGAAGGAGCTCCCCAGAACTCCTGAAGGGGTTCTGCTTAAATCCTCTGGTTCTCTGCAACTTTTCTATCACACTATTTCCTTACTGCAATCTTTCTAATCAACTTTCTTCTTATATTCTTTGTGATTGATGATCATTAATAACTGGCCACCAAAGCTGTCGTTTGAACTCCACACCACAGATTCTCTTTAGTAAAAGGAAAAAACTTTTAATAAAATCCAAAGTCTGCGTTTTCCAGCTCTGGAAAATTGAATGTTGGTTTCTCTTCATCTGTAAGCCATGGACTCTGAAAACATCCTTTAGAGTGTGATGATTAATCTAAATGGAGTTTTCAGATTTATTTTATTTTTTCTTTCTGAAATAAATACATTTCTCAGTGATATTGTTTTAAGTCTGTAAGCTGTTTGTGCTGCTGGAGCAGAGCCCTGTCCATGATGTATACAGATCTTTCTGTTTTTCTTTCATGCTCATCTTAATCTAATCTCTGTTTAACAAACAAAATGGAATAAGAATCTAAAATGTCACCTTCATGGATTCACCAACTTCAGTGACTTTATTTCACTTTGTTCTGAATAGCTATGAATGTTCAAACCTGGACAAAAATACAAGGCAGCATATGTAATGCCAAAAAAAAAAAAGGAAAAACCAAACTGTTCCCAAACTCATGTGTGCGGCTGCCCCCAAGCAGCATTAGCTTCTGGTCCAGGATGCCTTCTAGAAACCAAAACACTACTCTACCAAATATATAAAGAAAAAACAAATTTTAAAATGTTTTAGTTGGTTTATCCCTTTTAAATTATAATTACATATGATTTGCATAAGAATACCATAAGAACTCAACATTTTCAGCATTAGTTTCCAACTAAATAAAGATTGTTCAAGCATGTTTATAGTGCAAAAATAATGGTGCAAAAAAGGCATTAATTTGAAAATCTCAGCGTTTGCACAGTTGTGTACTTTTAAGTTTAAAAACATTATAGAAGTGGTTCAATTTGGCCATAAAGTTCAGATGTGTGCATGTCTGAGACAGAGTCCAGTTTAGAGTTCAACAGTCTGATGGCGACGGGTGAAAAGCTGCTGCAGAACCCGCTGGGCCTGCAGTGGATGCTGGGAAGCCTCTTCCCAGAGGGCAGCAGGGAGAGCAGTCCCTGGTGGGGGGGTGAGGGGTCACTGATGAACTTATGGACGGGACACGCAGCGCTGGGATGTCCTGAATGGAGGGAAGAGGAGCCCCAATGATCCTCTAGCTGTCCAGCTGCTTCTGTGGAAGGTCTTGGGGATGGAGGGGCAGGGGCAGGTCTCCTCATCTTGATCAGTGATGTGGTGTTCACACACCTGGAGAGGTCGTTGGTGATGTGAACCCCCAGGATTTTGGTGCTGACCAAGCATTGGAGGCGGGTTCTTCCGGACGAGGATCATTCCTCCTTCATGTTCTCTACATTGAGGATCAGGCTGCTGCCGCTGCTCCTCCTCTCTGTAGCCCAGCTCACTGTCGACTCTGATGACGCCCACCAGCAATGTGACATCTGCAGACTTCATAATGTGATTGCTGGTGAACCTAGGGTGTCGATGTGCAGACCTGATCTATGGTCGGTTTATGTACCTTTAAAGTTGAAAAGCCAAAACATGAAAATTGCTAGAAAGACATTTCTTTGCCAAGTGAGTCAAGGGGAGATATTCCTTCAAATTCAAAACTTAGAAATTCCCACGAAGTTTATGATAAACAACATTGAAAGAAAATCTTCAGAGCATTTTGTTAAATTTCAATACTTTAAATCATCAAACAAATGTTAAAATTAGCCAAAGTGAAAAACTAAATATGGTTCTGAGACCACGACTTCTCTTACAAAGTGAAAACGCTTTTTTAACGCACTCCTTCCAATATAGGAGGTTATTAACGCAGCTGTTATCAGATAATTTGAGATGCATTCAAATCGGCAACAATAGAGGGTTAATAGGAATGAACGTGGTGTTCAGGGCCAGGCTAAAACATCTAGAATCAATGTAAGGATGAACTTTGATTAGGCCCAACTATAACCTTAATTTCGTTCTTTTCCCTCAGTTAATCGGCTGTAGGAGTACAACCTCAGCCTACTGCAACTAAACTGATGGCGGGACATTCCAGAAAGACAATCCACTGGACTTTGTTTCCAATTTGAAGACGTTTCTCTTCCCATCCAGGAAGCTTTTCAATTCAAAACGTCAGAAATAGGGTTGAGTTCGAAGCTTTATATTCCTCCATGCCCGTCTCAAACCACCTGTCTTCTTTATCCAGAATGTGAACATTCTGGTCCTCCAAAGAATGTCCTCTGTCCATAAGTTGTAGATGTACAGCAGAGTCTTTTCCAGAGGAGGGCGCTCTTCTGTGTTGGGCCATGCTTCTGTGGAAAGGTTGTTTTGTTTCTCCAATATAAAGATCAGAGCATTCCTCACTGCATTGAACTGCAGACACCACTCCGCTTTAGATTTGGTCTGAGGGTTTTGTCTTTAGGATGCACCAGTCTCTGTTTAGTTAGAAAGCCATCTATGTTAAGAAGGAAAAACTAACCTTAAACAGAGGCGGGGGGGACTCAGATTTTAGCTTTCAAAAACATACAATCCAGCAATAGAGTTGATTCCTTCCCGCTATCATTGCAACCCGAACCACTTTACAGGAACAGAAGACATCACCTGTTCAGCCAGGCCAACTTTTCCCTTTAACGACCCCCCTTTCAGAGACATAGACAGGTATGGGGCATTGTAGGCTAACAAAAGAAACCAAACGACCCCCATTCCAAAGGGGTGGACCCGTTCGTCCGTTTTAATTTGCATGTTTTCTAAACTAAAACAAGGCTTTGTTGGGCTGCTGGATAAAACCTGGAACTCAACACTATTTCTGACATTTTGAATTGAAAAAGCTTCCTGGATGGAAGAGAAACGTTTTCAAACTTGGAAATAAAGTCCTGTGGATTGTTTTTAAACGTTTTTGGAATAACTATGACCTGGATGGACTGAGAATCTTTCCCAGCTAATGTTGGGACGTTTCTCCTCAGCAGACCGAGAGCCGGAGGCAGCAAAGCAGGCCCAGACCATCATACCGCTGCCGCTGTGTTTGTCTCTCAGTGCTTCATCATCAGGTCAGTGTGAACCGGGCTTTTTCACCATCATCTCTCTCAGATCCCACTTTAACACGAGCTCTGTAACTGCTGAACAGAAGAAAATCCAGCTTGGTTTCAATACGTTTCTTCCTCAATAAATAAAAAAACAAGGATTTTTGGGAGGAAATGTAAAGCAAGAACAAAAAAGTCAATCACAGCCCTGAACAGCGTATAACTAAAAATACACGTTAAAATCCAAGTAAGGAGAGCAAATAAAAAAAAAAAATCATTTAAATGTTCAGGAGTCTAAAGACTAATCTGAGAGAAAGAAAAAGTAGCTGAGAATTGAAGAGAACCTTTAAAATTTAAGGAACGTTCCAGATATATTAGTCCACCACTGATCACCCCTGTGTGTTAGCATGATGCTAGCCATTAATAACAGACACCTTGATGGTTTCTGTTAAGCACAGCTTCTCCTATTAGCAGGGGCG